ACTGTACAAAATACTTTTCAAAAGTGTCAAGGTCATGAGTGAAAAGGGAAGACTTAGAAATTATCATAGATTGGTGGACACTAAGGAGATATGATGCCTAAATGCAATACGGAATCTTGGGTTGAATCCTGGAACAGTGAAAGATCACTAGTGGGAAAACTGGGAAATTCCCGGTAAAGTCAACAGCTTAGTCAATATGTTGTATCAGCATTAAGTTCGTATGGTTATGTCAGATGCTAACACTAGAGGATATTGGGTAAAGGACATATGAGAACTTTATACCATATTTTCAACTCTTCTGTAAAATCTAAAGTTTCAGAATAAAATTTAAAATAACTCTTGGGGGAGCTTCCTGGTGTCCCAGTGGCTGAGACTCCACACTCCCAATGCAGAGGGCTTGAGTTGGATCCCTGGTCAGAGAACTAGATCCCACATGCTGATTCTTCCCACAAGGAAGATCAAAGATCTGCTGTGCTGCAACTAAGGCCTGACCCAGCTAAATAAATAAATATTTAAAAAATAATTCATATTTCCTCACCCTCACACTCTTCTTGCAGATGGTGACCTCACTTCATACATCTTTGATAACATAAAAGTGTCAGAACTGTTTCATTCTCCACTACCTCGTTAGCATCTGCTTCTGTCCTTCTGTTGGGCCTCCCTGGTGGCGCAGATGGTAAAGCATCTGCCTGAAATGCGGGAGACTCAAGTTCAATCCCTGGATCGGTAAGATCCCCTGGAGAATGAAATGGTAACCCACTCCAGTACTCTTGCCTGGAAAATCCCATGGACGGAGGAGGCTGGTAGGCTACAGTCCATGGGGTCGCAAAGAGTTGGTCATGACTGAGCGACTGCACTTTCTACTCTCTATTCTTCTGTTACGGTAGGAAGCCTGTCCCTGCTGGTCTCAAGGGCTCACCCTCCACTCTGGGTGCCATCCTCCCTCTTCTCTCCCTTTCTCAACATTGTCCCTCCTCCAGTTAATTTCCCATCTCTGCTTCATCAATCTTCCCTTCTTCTGGATCATTTCCATCACCACATAAACATGTTGTATTATTCTTCACATTTATAAGATCTTTCCTTGAACCCTCATGTCTCTCATTTTACTACCCTATTTCTCACATTGTGTTGACTATATAACTTCCAGAGCCCAGTACAAAATGAAAATATGGATACCTTATTAAAATATTAAGAATTTCAAGACTGTTATGGTAGGGCACTATACCAAGTGTAGGGCCCTTCTAAGTATGGGGTCCTATGTGACTGTGCAGGTTGCATGTCCATGAAACTGGCCTTGAGTGCTAGACTAGGCAAACTAATTTATCCTAGAAAAAGTCAGAGTTGGGATTTCATTTTGAGGGAGCAGGGATTGCATTTTATTTTATTGTATTTTATATTTTTTGGCTGTGCCATGCAGCTTGTGAAATCTTAGTTCTCCGACCAGGGATTGAACCTGTGCCCTCTGCAGTGGAAGCATGGAGTCATAAACACTGGACAGCCAGTGAATTCCTGGCCGAAGTCACTTAATAAACATCTACATATTAATGTACTCAATAGCAGGCATGTATACTCAGTCACGTCCAACTCTTTGCGATCCCCTGGACTGTAGCCAGCCAGGCTCCTCTGTCCACAGGATTTCCCAGGCAAGAATACTGGAGTGGGTTGCTATTTCCTTCTCCAGAGTATCTTTCCGACCCAAGGATCAAACCCTCATCTCCTGCAGTGGCAGGCAGATTCTTTACCACTGCTCCACCTGGGTAGCCCACTAAATAAGTGTACTAAGTACTTATCATGTAGTGTTTTATATTTTATAAAATGATTTCAAGGGTAGAAAGACATGGAAAGGGCTTTACAACTAGGGGTCAAGTGTTCTGCTTTGGCGACAAAGTCAATTTTTTAAATGACAAATATAATGACGCTTGATCAAAATTATCACAAAAAATTATATGTATTAAGGTGGACTTTGAATTATACAGACTATTTTTATAAACCTAAACCAAACTAAGTAATATCCTCTATTCTGCAGAGTACATTCTATGAAACCAGGTTCTTTAGTATATGTGAGAAGTAATGTATAAAGAATACAGTTGTATGAATTGCTGTGTTCAGTTATATGACTACCAGACTGTTAATGAGTATTATCTAGGAGGGATTTGCTGATGAGTGGTCAGAAAAAGCTTTCATTCTTCATTCTTTTTTTTATTCTTCATTCTATGTCATGTATTTTTGCTTTCTACTAATGTATTGCTCATGAAATAACTAAAATTTTTAGAATTAATAGCCCTTTATAGCAAATATCTACACATGACACTTTCGTCTAGCTCAGCAGTCCCTAACCTCTTTGGCACCAGACACTGGTTTCATGAAAGACAATTTTTCCACCAACAGGGGTGGGGGTATAGTTTCGCAATAATTCAAGTGTGTTACATTTATTGTGCACTTTATTTCTATTATTATTACATCAGCTGCACCTTAGATCACCAGGCATGAGATCCTGGAGGTTGGGGACCCCTGCACTAGCCATCTACAAGGAAAATTCATCCCATTTGAGGTTTCATTAAATTTTACACACACACACTCTAAAATCTCTGTGAAGAAACTGTACTATAGAATATTAAGTATAAAATGAGTAATTTTCTTATAAAATGAGTAATTTTCTTAATTTTCTTTCCCTTGTTTTTAAAGAACAGGATACTAACTTTTCTCCAAAACTATATTTAACGTTATCTTTTTGATTTTAAGGGCAAGTCACAACCCAAATTCCTATCATAGAAATATTTTGCACTACCCATTATATCTTCCTTAACCAGTTTCTTTTTCTATCCATTCTTTGTCTTTGATGTTGGTTTTTTAATTGGATTCTTAACTGATGGGCTGTGAGTTTTGTCAGAAAAGTTTAGATACAAATTTTAATAGTCATATTTTTCTTAGTCAAATATTAGGTATCAAACTGACTACTGTGAAAATTAAAAAGCAACACCTGTAAAACTTAAGAACAATTTAAACAGTATATTTGTGTATGAAACTATTAAGAAATGTTCTTAAATACAGCACTGAAGCTATGAAAGATTCAAAAAGTATAAAATGAGAGCAATTTTGAGCAGTGACAAATTGAGAATGTGTTAAAGAGCCATAAAAAGAAACAATATCTTGGATGTATACTCAAATACTACAAGTCAGATTACTGTGGAATTTTGTCATTTATTTAATAGTCATGTTTACTCAACTCACATTAATGAAATGAACATTTAATAAAGAGCTATCAAGTTATTAAAAGATTTGATTGTTCTGGATTAGGCAGATAATAGATTCAGACTTGACAATGGATTATTTTGCAAACAAAGCCACAATAACCAGTTATTCTTGGGAAAAGTGTGTGTATAGTTTGGGGGCTGGCAGTGTGTAACTTGCTGAAACATCCCAAATGCAGAAGATAACAAAAATCTGGTTGACAGTTGTTCCTGATTTGATACTAATAGTTTTCATCTGAAGAAATTTTTGAAAGATCACAAAGTTCCAGAACTCAGGTCTAGTTCAGATTTTCAGATTTAAAACACATATAGGATTTCCTTAAGATGTCAATAATCAAATAATTAAATAACTTAATATCCCAGTAAAATTCACATTATATTGGTATTTACTTCAACAATGTAATTATTTACATTGGGAGAGTTAGGAGAGTTATTGTTTAGTTCCTAAGCCTTGTCCAACTCTTTTGTGACCCTAAGGACTGTAGCCCACCAGGCTCACAACACACTTAAATTATTGCTCAATAAAAGCATAATCCATGATTTTATATATATTTGTAAAAATTAATCAAAACTTTAAAAATTAATCAAAAATTAGCTGAATCTTTACATTGCCTTTTCACTTTTCCTCTTTTGAACTCTTCGATAATTTAAGCTGGAAAAAAGACTTAAAAATAGGTCATAATGATATTGCAGCTAACAAAAATAACATTAAATACACTTAATACTTTAATAGTTATTAAAAGTTTCACGTCACAACATTATTTTGAGTGTAACAACAGCCTGTTGTAATTTGAATTCATTTGCGCTGAACTAATTGTCCTTTGTTTCTACTTCTTTATATTTTCGCAATACTTATCAGCATTGTTCTCTAATATTAATCAACCCAGATAATTTCAGTTTCCAGCTTTCCCCTCTATGAGAACACCTTCTCTTAAACCTTCAAATGCTAAAAAAGGCTTATAAGAAATGGAAAAGACATTGAGAATAATGATAAGGAACACGAGTTTGTCATCCTAAGAGCTAGGGAGATTTGCTTTTCTTTTTTTCGTTTCACAGGCCTACAATTAAACCGCCAGGTAAAGTCAGAGGTCTATTTTTACGGAGGTTGGGACAGTTGGCCCGCTTCTCTTTGTATTCCATTTCACCGTCCACCTTCCTCCTCCCTGCCCCCTGACTCTTTCCTCCAGACTCCATTTCTTCGAGGTTTCAGAGTGGTGCTCTCACTGGTGATAAAGAAGGGTCAGTATTTTCCAACTTCCTCCAGGGTCCCACCCGTCCCACCTCACCGGCCGCGGCGGGAGGAGGCACCTGGAGGCGGCGGGGACAGGGCGGACCGGGCGCGTCTCGGGAAGAGGGTGGTATCCCACGGCCGCGTCCCGGGTGGGGGAGGGGATCCTGTTCCCCGCCCCCGCCCCCCGGCGGGGACAACGCGGAGAACCGGCCTGCGGAGGTGAGCGGCCGCCGGCAGGGACCGGGGCGGGGCCGGGGGCGGGGCCGCCAGGTCGAGCAGGTCTGCTCCGCTCTACCGCGCGCCCAAATCGCGCAGTCCGTCGGCCAGCTAGCACCGTCATCGAATCCTCGAACACCTCGCTGTAGTCCTCTCGACGCTAAGCCGCGCGTCCCACGCCTCACGCCGTCCGGCCGGTCAGTGGGCTAGCGACGACCTACTCTGTCCGCTCGTCCTCGTGCCAGCCCTCGACCTGCCTGGCGCCCTCGCGCTCTAGCGCCCAAGTCCTCGGCGCGCACAGCATGGCGCTCCGCCAAGCCCTCGCTTTCGGGCTCCTGGTCGCCGCGGCGACGGCGGCGGTGGCCGCAGCCCAGCAAGGTGAGGAGCGGAGTGGTGGGGTGAGGAGGATCGGGGGGCGGGGCGGGGCGGTGGTGGTGGCGGTCCTCGGTGCCCTAGATGTAGACTGCGGGGAAGGAGCCGCGCTTTCCCGCCTGGAGATGGACGGCGCGGGGCTGCCCAGGCCCCCTGAGGCTGGGAGGTGGCGGGAAGGCGCCCACTCGCTCGGCGGGAGGGAGCGGCCTCGCTTGGCGCTCTGCTCGCCTCTCTGGGAAAATGGCTCAGGCAGGGGCGGAGGGACCGGTAGGGAACTGAGTAGTCGCTTTAGCCGCCGCCTCGGCGCGCCCACCTCCGGCCCCTGCGCCCTGGAGGTTTTGTCGAGGCGGAAACTTGCCCGGGCCGGGAGGGGACTCTACGACGGCGACCTTCGGCCCCGCCCCTCCCTGGGCACCTGCGGCGGGCCCCGGATGTGTCTCTGGCGGGGACCGGTGACTGCGGCGAGGCCTCTGGGGCCGCTGTGCACCTGTGCTGGAGGGCGGGAGAGGAGGGGGACGGGGCGTGCTCCTGGGCCGTGACTGCCAGGTGTATGGATATTTTCTCTTTAAGGATTATATAAGTAATGCCAAGTTTATTGTAGGAAACCCAGTTATATCGATAACCGTAAAGAGTTTTTAAAAACAACAATAATTGCCACCATTTTTAAAAGAAGCCTGTAATTAATAATCAGATATATTTTTCTTTCAGACTTTGCTCTAAACATTACCCTAAACCTAAACACGTTGTTTTAGGTCTTGATCCCCGCCATCCTCACCCCCCACATTGTATTCAGTTTTCCGTTTCCTTTAGTCTTGAAAAACACGATTTAAATGATATAAAACAATCTGCAGCCTGGAAGGTCGCATCATTATTCTAATCTTGGACGTGTAATTTGATTCCAGGTTTTCTTACTCTGGAATAAACATCTTGGCCGCCATCTCTTGATTTATTTGTAAGGAGGTGTCGTTTAACCAGCTTTCTAAAAGGCTTTTATTTTTATAGTCTCACCAACAGGGTTCGGCCTAATTCATTACAGTTTCAAAATAATGCAGTTTAATCAACTCATGTTATTTCAACTTCAGTCTGAAGCTAAATATTTAATTTTAAATTGCTTTAAAGTGGGAATTCCCTGGCGGTCCAGCGATTTAAGACTCAGTGCTTCCACTGCAGAAGGCACTGGGTAGGACCTCTGGTTGGGGAACTAAGATTGCACATGGCCTGCGGCAGGACCAAAACTTTAAAGTGATAATAGTGATTGCTTTAAAGTGATAATAGCTGCTGTCGGAGTATGTTCAGAAAGTGTGTACCTGATTGTCATTTTTGAATTTCACGATGTTTAGGCATAACTTTGTTCTCTGAGCAGGTATATAGCATAGTGCAGTGTAAGATTTTTAATTCCTTGAGGACAGTCACTGGACTTTTTCTTTTTGTGACCCCAATACTGAGTTTAGTGATGGACAAATTATATAGGTGGTTCATATTGATTATAATTTAAACAGGGAAAAATTAAGGCCAACTTGAGATATGAAGTTTCAATATATCAGTTCTTCAGCCTGTTAAAGTTAGTGTTTATAATGCTTGCACTCTTATCTAGACTAATTAAAGAAATTAAATGTTGACTTGTCAATTTGAAGTTAAAATGAACTTTTGAGATAGTCAAAGATATAACTATTAAACTGACATCAATAACCAGGATGGACTGCTTAATAGCACTTTCAAAATCAGGTACTAGGATTTAATTTAGTTAGGAAAGAGGTACCTCCCAATTCAATTGAAAGTATAATTTTTCCAAGACACAAAATTATCCAAGGATTGAGTACGTTTCCATTAAGTCTCAAAAGAAGTATCTCTTATTAATTAAAGGGTGGGAAGAAGGAAGAAATGTGAGTTATTCACAGATCCTAGAATTGGCATTTTTATTTTATATTGGGATCTAGTTGATTTATAACGTATTAGTTTCAGGTATATAGCAAAGTGGTTCAGTTATACAGGTACATATGTTCATTTTTTTCAGATTATTTTCCCCTATAAGTTATTAAAAAATTCTGAGTAGAGTCCTTATTGATTATTTTATATATAGTAGTGTGTTGTTGATTTTGAAGCAGAGAGTCATGACCAGCAGGTGAGTGTTCAGCAGGACTGGAGGGAAGAAGCTGAGTCTGGGAGTATCTTGAAGGCAAAGCTGAATCTGGTGTTTGGAGAGTTTATTCTTGGTTTAAAAAAGCAACGTAGGAAAGCATGCAAATTAGACTGCGTATTTAGCATTGTGTCAGCCACTTCAATTGTAGCTGAAAAGTTGAACATTCAGGACCACTCTTTAAGGCTGTGTGTCCTGTAACTTGGGGATTCAGCATCAGAGTTGATAGTTATATCCTCATTTTTAAAGTGGATTTTTCCCCCCACCAGGATGTGTGTGTGAAAGCTACAAACTGACCACAAACTGCTCTGTGAATGCGTACGGTCAGTGCCAGTGTATTTCAGCTGGTACACAACATTCCATCATTTGCACAAAATGTGAGTAGAATATCCTCATTGCCTTTAAGTTTTATTTGATTTATACTTCTTTAATTGATAAATCTTGAGTTGGAAGTGTCTAATTGGCTCAAATCTGAATCATGCTATTTTGTCAACATTATATCATCTTTGAAGTTTCTTATGATTTAGAAAGTGAACGTGAAAACTTATAAAATATGTAATAATCTTTGGCCCTGGGAATTTGGAGTAAATTAAATTTTTTCCTTAAACACAAAACTGCAGTTATTTTTCAGTTTGCCTGACACTTTCCTTTCAGTGGCTGCTAAATGCTTGGTGATGAAGGCAGAAATGAGTCACTCAAAGTCCGGGAGAAGACGGAAACCAGAGGGCGCCATCCAGAATAATGACGGGCTCTATGATCCTGAGTGTGACGACAAGGGGCTCTTTAAAGCCAAGCAGTGCAACGGCACCTCCACATGCTGGTGTGTGAACACTGCTGGGGTCCGAAGAACTGATAAGGACAGTGAAATCTCCTGCTCCGAGCCAGTGAGGACCTAGTGAGTTGGGCTGCCTCTATATTACTTGTTTTCATGCTTTTTGAATTCATTTAATTAAATGTGCTTTTGAATATGTAACACGATTTTGTGATTTAGAATTCAAAAGATAGAAAAGAGTGGACAGTGACAATCCTATCTCAATCCTACTCCGTCTCAACCCCCTAGTTGCTCGGTTTACTTCCGTAGAATTGATGTCACATGCCATAACCTTCCAGAGATCTTCTGTGAATTTACTAGCAATGTATTATATCTTATTTTTAAATGTTTTTCCTTTTGCTTGTATATTTTTACTTAACACTGTTCAGTATTTTAAAGTTGGATTGCTGTTCAGTGTACATGAACAACTTACGCTACTCACATATTTGCTTATTTATTGTATTTTAAAGTGAGATGCGGTTGTTTTAGGGGTTATGTAATGAAGAGGAATGGAAACACACTCCAGCTAGTTTAAGCTAAAAAGATTTTATTGGAAGAGACTGAGACTAAAAAGTTATCACAGCCATGGCAGGCACTCTCTCCACTTCTGTCTCCTGGAAGCCTGTGGCCAGTTTTCTTTTTCTCTCAGTGCCTTTTTGTCTTTTTACTTGAAGGTGGCCCAGCAGGACCAGCTAAGCCTTGGCTTTATGTGATCTTGACTGTGGTGGCCAGAAGGTCCATGTTAGAATGGCTGAGTTCTTTATAAAGAATATCTGAGGGCCAAGGAAGAAATGGAAGGCATATCTATAGTATAGATCCTTTTTCTGTTAATTTCCTTGTAATTCCCTGTGCGAATTTTTATATTAGTTTATTAAGAAAATAATAATAGGTAATAATAAAAGGTAGAGTTGTTATGTTTAATCAATACTGTCTCTTTACTTTATAGCTGGATCATCATTGAACTAAAACACAAAACAAGGGAAAAACCTTATGATCTTCAAAGTTTGCAGTCGTAAGTGCTGTTAAATGCATTATTTAAAAAAATAAATAAATAAAAAATAAAAAAAGTAAATGCATTATATTTGTACAGTTGGCACTCAAATCTTCCATCTTACACCATTAGATAAATTAAAGTCTCATCGCTTTTTCATATTTCTGAAAAATAAGATAAATAATATTTTTTAACTTTAAAAGATAGAGGTACAAGAATTGTACAGATTCGTATACAGTAACCTTTGCTCAGATTCACCAGTGAAGATTTTGCCATATTTTATATGAGTATGCATGTGTGTGTGTACTTTCTGTATCTGTCTGAGCATGTATCAATATTATTTCTGCAGAACCATTTGAGAGCAAGTTCTAGATAACATGCATCCCGATCCCTAAATACTATAGTGTATCTTTTCCTAGAAAAAAAAGGCATTCTCTTACATAATCACTGTACAGTTATCAAATTCAACATTAAACCACATTGTTCCAGTTTTCCCAATATTTTTTGTGGCAAATTTTTCCCCTCTAACCTAGAACCCAGACTATGATCATGCATTTAGTTGTTATGACTGTTCAGTCTCTTTAAATATGGAACACTGCTTTGGCCTTTCTTTGTCTTTCCAATAAAATTGAAAAAGTTAATTAATATTTAAATTATAAACCATGACATTGATATTTTTGAAGAGTAAGGGCAAATTATTTTATAGACTGTCCTTCAGTTTTGGATTGGTCTCATGTTTCCTGATAATTGAATACAAGTAATGCATTTTTGACAGAAAAACTACTTACAGTGACCTTGTGTCCCTCTCAGTACTTCACACTGGGAGGCACACGAGCTCAGCTTATGCCTTCACTAGTGATGTTAACTGTGGTCAGGCTGGTGTCCACCAGGTTTCTCCACTGTGGACTTACCATTTCTCTCTTTGTAATTAATATAATCTGGGGGCAGGTACTTGGATACTGTGTAAATGTCCTGTTTCTAGTAAAACTAGAACTCAACAGTTGTGCATCAATATTAATTATTATTTTTGGAATATGAATTATTTTGATGATAGTTGCAAAATGGCATAATTTTTTTATTTACAGTGCACTCAAGGAGGTAATCACAAGTCGTTATCAACTGGATCCAAAATATATCACAAATATTCTGGTAAGATTTTTTGGTTTTTTTTTTTGAAGCAGATGGGCTTTAACAGAGAGTTGGTTGGACAGTTTGATTTGGGTGTGATTTTTGATAGTGGTTGAACTGTATTTGAATAACACTTTAAGCCCTGGGCTCTTAATCTAAAGAATCCCCTGTTGCTGCTTTCCCTCCATACTCTTGAAAAACTTCAGTTTACCCTTACAGAAAAGGTAGTGTCTCTTAGTTTCCCATGCACATGCCAGCCTTGGAAAATCTCTCTCTCTCTGGTTGCTTTTGACAATATTTACTTTTGTTGTTATTCAGTTGCTCAGTTGTGTCTGACTCTCTGCGACCCCTTAGACTGCAGCAGGCCAGGCTTTCCTGTCCTTCATTATCGACTAGAGTCTGCTCACACTCATGTCTGTTGAGTCGGTGATGCCATCCAACCATCTCATCCTCTGTCACCCCCTTCTCCTGCCTTCAGTCTTTCCCAGCATCAGGGTCTTTTCCAGTGAGTCAGTTCTTCACATCAGGTGGCCAAAGTATTGGAGCTTCAGCTTCAGCATCAGTCCTTCCAATGAATATTCAGGGTTGATTTCCTTTAGGAGTGACTGGTTGCTTTAGGATTGACTACTTACTTTAGGATGCTACTTGGTCCTGTTGTCTTCAGTTTCAGGAGCTAATCTTTAACCAGTTAGCCCTTCCTTAACTCTTTCAACTCTGCTTGAAAAATGCTTGAATAGTGTGATGGAATTCTTGCACGGCAAAAAATTGACATCATTTTTTAAAAGACTTTGGTAGGGATATGCTTTTTTCTCTCCTAAAAGCAGAACATGGTAAATGCTTTTGGATTGCATTTCTTCAGCATCTTAGTAAATGAGGTACTTTAATATCTTTTTCAGGAAAAGAAAATTCTCTTTTGAAAAAAAATTATAATTATCTTTATTTGCATTGCTATTTTATTCTATCCCTTGGATTGATTTAAAACCTTCCAAAGATTTTGATGTTATTGTTAGTGATAAACCAAATTATCCACTAATGACAAGAAACACCAGCACATGCAGGTTACAGACAAACATTGAATATTCTGATTGTTGAACAATGATATTTTCATGTTTTCATACAGTTTTTGTTATAGTAATATTAATTTGTATTTTTTACCTCCCCCCCCAGTATGAGAACGATGTTATCACTATTGATCTGGTACAAAATTCTTCTCAGAAAACTCAGAATGATGTGGATATTGCTGATGTGGCTTATTATTTTGAAAAAGATGTGAGTATAATCTTTCTTATTTTATTCCTATTTTAGAAATGTCTTCTATTTCTCTACTTTTAGATCAACCATTATGAATATTCTCCAAGTGGTTCTCATGTGGCAATTAACTTTGTCCTCCTTTTCATTCACATGCATCTTTCTTATACACTTTTTTACTTGTTCATATATTTATGCCTCTTTATCAAATTGTTATACCTAGAATATCTTCTCTTTTATGATTCTTGTTACCTCCTTGGCAGTAATTTAGCTTGTGAGTCTAGTCTTCCCTACTATAATTTCCATGAATAAGAGACTCTGTAAAAATTGCTGTTTAACTGGTGGGATTAAAATGTGTGTTTAAGCTTTAATATACTAAAGTGAGCTATTTTCTGATGAAATTTGGGATTCACTTCAAAATAACCAGGCTAGGGAATTACCTGGCCATCAGTGGTTAGGACTCTGTGCTTTCACTGCCAACGGCCCAAGTTCAATCTATGGTCATGGAACTAAGATCTCACAAACTGTGCAGTGTAGCAAAAAAAAAAACAAAAAAGTACCCAGGCCAAGGGGAGGCTAGGGGGTTGGAGAAAAGGAAGAATAGATAAGATTGGCCATGTGTTTATATAATTGAACCTGAATAATAGGGACATGGACCTCATTATACTATAATTTTTACTTTTATGTATGTTTGAAAATTTCGTGTCATAAAGTTTTTTTTTTAATTTCAATGGATGAGACTGTTATCACCAAAACCATAAAGATTCTTGGCAGCAGTTCTTTTGGTACATAATTGGCACATACTTCATGGCCATGGTAGGTTTTTCTTAACTATGTTAAATTGCTTTTTTCCTCAATATAGGTTAAAGATGAATCCTTGTTCCATTCCAAAAGGATGGACCTGAAAGTAAATGGCGAACTACTGGATCTGGATCCCAGTCGAACTTCAATTTACTATGTTGATGAAAAACCACCTGAATTTTCAATGCAGGGTCTACAAGCTGGTATTATTGCTGTCATCGTGGTTGTGGTAGTAGCAATTATTGCTGGAATCATTGTCTTGGTGAGTTTGGAACAAGTAAAATTTCATTTAAGGATCTTTTCTTTCAAGAAATGGTGATAATATGAAAGAGCCCCTACCATGTTCCAAAATAAGTTAATGAAACAAAATCTTCATTTGTTGTACTCCTTTATGCTGAATGAATCTATTGCATTTCTGGCCCCTTTTTGTAAAATAGTCAACCTTATGAAGCAAGAAAGGATGCTGATCCGAGAAAAGCTTGTAGCTGAGCACTTCACCGGTCGGTTATGTTGCCATTGAGTAGCCACTGTCCTTTTGTTGTCCTCACTGCACACAAGAGTACAATTCAACACTCTTGCCAGGATAAGTGCAAAGTAATTTGAATTTCCAAACCACTCAGTGAGATGAAACTACATTTCATTGAACACATTGTGAACACATGTTAACACTGAAACACAATGTTAGCATAAAAAAGAGTTAAAAGGGATAAACATGAAACCACAGTTTAAATAAAAGTAGTAAATTGAACTTAGCAGTGCTTCAGAAGACGACCATATCACCTGAAGAAGCAGGGTTTGTTGTAGATACATAAGGATGCTTCAGCATCAGGAAATCTTACCAACATGACAGAATAAAGACAGATTTGAGGGTATACGACAGCTTACACTTTTTTGCTATCCATCTGGAGGAGAACAAAAGATGGATTTCTATTTCACCCCACCAGAGCTGGCCACATTGCTCAGCTATGTGTGACTAGCACCTTCTGAAGCACAGCAGCAGAAAAGGAGTGGACCAGTTGACCCATGTTCAAACACAAATTCTGGATGGGTTATAGTTCAAAATGTTAAAGAGTAAAATAAGTCTCAAAATTATGAAACGTTTGTACAACCCTGTAGTAAAAGAAACCAATTAAGGTGGGAAATCTGGAGTCCATGAAGGAAGTCATACAGTTGACTTCATTGAAATTAAATATTTTGTGTGGCAGAGATGCTGTAAAGTGAAAAAATATATATATGTATATCAGTGATAGGCTTGGGGGAAATATTTACTACGAATAAAACAAAAAAAGGTTATTATGCATAATAAAGAGTTCATATAAACTGATGAGGAAACTAAAGAAAGAAATGCTAATAGGTGTGAGCAGACGATTTACAGAAAAGGAATTCCAGACGGCAAATAAATACATGAAAGGTTGATCATAGAAATCTAATTGTCCTTAAAAAAAAAAAAAGAAAGAAATCTAATTGTCCTACAGAAATAAAAGCACAAGTAATAAGGAAGCATGGTCAAGGTCATGTATTGTGTTGCTAGTAAGGATGAATCTGGAAATAGCCTGAGTGTACATCCAGGGGAGAATGGATAAGTAAACTCTGGGGCATCCATGCTGTGGAATAAAATGGCTATTAAAGAGAGTTCTATCCATAGCTTTCGATCTGGAAGAATTCCTGTGATGTGGATATAGGCTATGTAAAGAGGGAAATTATATTGCATGATCCCATTTTTAGACCCCCAAAACTTACATGCATACATGTTATATATCTATGGATTTTAAAAGTAAATTTGTTCAGATCAGAATTGTGTTCATTAAAAGTATGTATGTCAGTTTAGACTAACTTTTTGTTTGGGCAGCAGTCCTCAAATAGTAATCATTTTTCTTCCACTTAGGTTGTTTCCAGAAAGAAAAGAATGGCAAAGTATGAAAAAGCTGAGGTAGGTGGGTTATTTAGTTAAAAGGCCCTTGTTTAACCTCTTATTCCTCATAATCACTATACCTTCCGGACACTAATGGATCTCAACTACACTTGAGTCCCTTTACAGTGTAGACCTTAGGATCTTAGGGAGAGTCTCACAGTACAGACCAGATCAATATAATCAGAATTCAATGTAAATTCTGACCACTTAATAGCTGGGTGAGTTTCTTAACTTCCTTTAAGCCTCCATGATTCCTTTATCTGTAAGATGGGGATGACAGTACAGACCTTTTGTGAGGATTAAACAGAGTAATCTGTGTGAAGTGTCAGTCCCACGCTTGCCACACAGCAAGATGTTTGCCATCTGGAGTAGTTGTCATCACCTTGTCTTGGCTCTGTCTGCAATTAATTTTGCAACCTGAGACAAAAATCATTTAATTTTAAACTTCAATTCCCTCACCCATAAAAAAGACTGACAATAAAAAATGGTTCTTCCTTAAATATTTAGCTTACCTTCTACTTCTCTCTGTCACTGGCCATCTTATCACTAAAAAGCAATTTGGATCATGTATTCAATGTATGTTTCCTTGTAGTACACTTTTTTAAAAAAATTAAATGTCATAAATGTGGAAGAGAATTTTCTTGCTTTTTGTTTTTTAAGCTATTTCCAGAATGAACAAGAAATTTAAAAACTATTTTAAATTTTTTTCTCTTTTCCCCTCTATTTCAGATAAAGGAGATGGGTGAGATGCATAGGGAACTCAATGCATAACACTAATTTGAAGAATAACTACAAGAAGGGAAACTAGTAAACAGACTCAGATTATAAACACGCGCATGGGGCAAAGAGAAGATCTTTGAAGATCACTGTTGTGTTGTTAGTTAACATCATATGTTTGTACTAGTTAAACCTGTACTCAAAATATAAACAGTTTGAAATTGACTTTACCAATCTTAAAATTTGACTACAAGTGTCCTATAGATACAGATCTAAAATCCAGAATTTGGACTGATAGTTTGAATTAGTTATGCCTAACATTGAAGGGCATGCATTAAATATGCTTCCGCAGTAGTCTGAATGACTACTGTCTTGTCCATTTGTGATTAAATAGCTGCTTTGCTATTTGAGTCTTGTACATATAAACTTTTTTTATGAACTATGAAATAAACATTTAAAAAATGAGTTTCCTAACTTTTGAATCACATTGAATCAAATTTCATAGTATACACGTAAGATAATAGGTTAAGAAATGCTCTGAATGCTAGCTACAAATAGAATTTGCATGAGTCCTTATAATCATGTATGTGTGTGTATGCATGCTAAGGGGGTTGCCATTTCCTCCTCCAGATAATCATGTATACTCAATATAAAATTAATAATGTAATGTATAACTTCTACACAGAAAAAACAAGCAATTTTATTCTGAATCCATCTAAGATTCTATTTCAGACAAAGTGTCCTATATTGGCAGACTAATACCTTAAGCCTGAATTGATGGACAGTGTTCTGGAATGTGAATTCCATGGTTGGCTGTATTAGAAGCACCAGTTTTTCAACTGAATAATTATGGTACAAACACATTTTATATGAAGTTAAAATATCCTGAAATATTTTGCTTTTGATAAACTTTAAAAAATACTATGAAAAGAATGTTAAAGAAAATTTAAAAAGCTGTATTTAAGCATTTACCTATGATTTTTATCCCTTCCGTAGTAGGCAGAATTCTAGGATGGCCCCTAAGATTTCTCACCCATGATATATATGCTCTATATAATTCCTTCCCTTAGAGTGTGGGCAGGATCTGTGAATATGACAAGGTGATAACCCCTGAGATTCAGTTACATGGCAAAGGCGAAGGGATTTTCCAGATGCAGTTATGATCCCTCTTCACTTGACTCAAATGGGAGATTACAAAAGAGTGCCTAAAAGTAGGAGACAAAAAGCAAAAATAGATGTACTCTCTCGTTAACTATAAAGCAGACTGCCATGTTTTGGAGAGAGTCATCTATCAGGAAATGTCTGGGCAACCCTGGTTGCTGAGGGCCTCAGTCGCTCAACCGTGGAAGTGAATTCTCAAAAAATGAGCTCAGAAGAGGACTTCAGCTCTTGATGAGATTGCACCTCAGTGACATTTTCAGTGCAGCCTTGAGACCCTGATGAAAAGACCGTATGCTTGGACTCCTTTCTCAGAAAGTGAAATGATAAATGTTTATTACTTAAGATGCTAATTTGTCGTAATTTGTTATGCAGCAACAAAAATCAGTCCTCGAAAGTAATGAGAACCTTTTAAAGACAAATAGCAGACAAATATGAAAATAGCAGATAAAAGGAACAGCCATTACCCCAGGCCTGAGACAGCACCCAGGGAAGAATCCCTATACACCCTGGGCTGGAGTTCAGACCTGGGAGAGGGCTGATGAAGAGACCTGTGCCTCGATGAAGAGCAGAGAAGTTTCTGTGGTATTGCACTAGCAGAACTTGTCAAAAATCTCTTCTGGAATTTCCTGGAAAATTTTGCCCTCAAGAACAGGAGTCATCAAACCACAGCCTGCAGCCTGGTCTACCACCTGTTTTCAAAACTGGGAACTAGAAATGGTTTTTGCATTTTTAACCAGTTGAAAAAAAATGGAAAGGATATTTCAGTATATGTAAAATAGTGTAAAATATTACATGGAATAAAAGTTTCAGTGTCCATCAAGTTTTACTGGAGCACTGCTACACTCATTTGTTCATGTGTTGAGTGTGGCTGTTTTTCACTACCAGGGCAGCTAATTGTGACAGAAATGGGAAGTAAAGCCTCACTACTCTGGTCCTTTACAGAAAAAGTTTGCTGACCCCTGTTCTAGGGTGCTAAGGGAAAGATCTGATACCTCAGGCACTGTACAAAGCTGCCTTACAGTTGGGGTGTGGGGGCGGAGCTCAGGGAAGCTGCCATCAGCTGCCCAGGGCTGCAGAACCCCTGGGTGCTGCCACAGCCGGGCACTGGGGGGAAGTGCCGGTGCCACAAGGGAAACAATTCCCTTGGCTCTTGCAGTGTTGCTCCAGTGCCCTCTTCTGACAAAGCTTCAGAGCAGGCACAAAGGGCGAATTGAGCTTGTTTAGTTGTTTGGTTGAGTCCAACTCTTTTGCAACCCCATGGACTGTAGCCCACCAGGCTCCTCTGTCCATGGGATTTCCCAGGCAAGAATGCTGGAATGGGTTACCATTTTCTTCTCCAGGGGATCTTCCGGACTCAGGGATGGATCCCAGGTCTCTTCTATCTCCTGCATTGGCAGGCAGATTCTTTTCCACTAGTGCCACTTGGGGCGCCCAATGACCTCATCACCTTCCTCCAAAAACAGTCCATCACTTATATCCTCAGAATCAGTTAGTGACATTGTCACCATGTAACAAGTCCTAAATTCTTTTTTCTCTCTTACCTTCTCCATCGTTTTGGTCATCAGTCCCTGAGATTCTCCCTCAGGAATAAGTCTACCTCCAATCTGCCTTCCCTTAACACATTTACACTGATCTCTTTGCCACCAGTCTATTCCCTCTCTAGCCCAGATCAGTGACTCAAATGGTAAAGAGTCTGCCTGCAATGTGGGAGACCCGGGTTCGATCCCTGGGTCAGGAATATCCCCCTGGAGAATAGAATGGCAACCCACTCCAATATTCTTGTCTGGAAAATCCCAAAGATGGAGGAGCCTGACAGGCCCCAATCCATGGGGTCACAAAGAGTCAGAAGTGACTGAGTGACTAACACACACGCACTTTGCCACCAGTCTATTCCCTCTCTAGCCCAAATGCTACATTGCTCCCAGAACAATTTGCCTAAAGTTGATCACAGCATTTTTCTACCCCTTCCTCCTCCAGTCTGGCCCTGCGCTGGGCGCTCCTTCCCCTTTTGGCTGCCCAGCATCCCATCCCCTCTTCCATTTGGGGAGAATTCTCCTGTGTGTGGTATTGGTGGGAGCCAGTTCTTCACCTCCCTCTGCAGAAGTTTAAGAGCAGTGATGTTCCCTCTGCCCTGAGCATCCAGGGCACAGGCATCCCTACCTGGGTCTTGAAATCTTGTGACAAAAAGGGAGAACAGTTGAGAAAACTCATGGGCAGTGGTGGGGTGAGACCAATGGCATACAGAGGAGTGGTCCCTGGATGGCATCCAGTCCTCTTGCTGCGGTCACTCTGCCTGGCCTCCCTTGGTTCCTCCTTTGTCTCCATTCCACAACTTTACCACTTGCCTAGATGTAATTTTACTTAATACCAAGCTGTCTTCACTCTGTCTTCCTGTGTATTATCCCCAGAACAACACAGTCAAAATCTTTTATTTCCCATTATACTGCAATGTATCCAACTTTGCTATATGCAAAATTTTTCTTTCCATTCCTCAAATGTTCCTGTTCCCAGGTCCTTTTATACTTTGCTTGCGCTTGACCATATCTTTCTTTTTTTTTAAATTGAGGTATAGCTGATGTACAATGTTACCTAAGTTTCAGGTGTACCACAGTGATTCACAATTTTTATTTTATTTATTTTTGATTCACAATTTTTAAAGGTTATATTCTTACGTTATTTCTTAATCTGCAGTATCTTCTACTTAGTCAAGGCCCAGCTTAAGATCCCCTTTCATGACGGCTTACTTAACACTTTAGCCTCAGCTCTTTCTACTTCTTTCAACACAAAGCGGGTTAGGATATGCTACCCCCAAATATGCCACTTTGGCATAAGGGTTCTTTTTGCCAAAGGCAAATGACAATCAACAGATGCAGAAAGAATTCTTCACCCACCTCTTATCTGCCTGAAATCAGGGCATAAATTTCCCTTTGTGAAGGTGCTTCCCCTTGAATCATCCTTTGAACCAGAGATGGAGAGTTGACACTGAGATGAGTTTGGATAACCAGACCCTACTACAGTAGCACTATCCTCCATTAGTTCTCCCATGTATTTCGTGGTTACTTCCTAAAAATGTATCATCTCTGGAAGGGCAAATCCTCTCGCCTTTGTTAAAAGAATATATAAGACCTTGAGGATATATATATACAATCGATTCTTTGATATTTGCTTTTCTGTGAACTGCTGTGCATATATATATTAATAAAACTTGTGCCTTTTCCCCTGTTAATCTGTCTGTTGTTAGTTTAACTCAAACTCACATACTCCCAGTCACTGAACTGAAGAGAGTAAAGAGAAAATTTTCCCTCCTCAATAAACAACACATTCTGTAGATACAACATAATTTCAGTTATTTCCAATCATCCTAAAACATGCCCCCGCCTGCTAACAATTCCCACTGACCCTGATGCTGCCATTCCTCTTTTCCTTTTTTTAATCAAGCTTTTTAAATAGAACTAGTACATTGTGTTTTCAAACCACAGAGTCTCTGTTGCCTACATCAACCAACCAAAGAGCTTTTTGAAAAATAGACTTCTTCAGATTCTTTGCCTACTTTTACATTGGGTTATTTATTTTTTTATTATTGAGATGTAAGATTTTGCTATATGTTCTGGATACAAATCCTTTGTCATACATATAACTTCCAAATGTTTTCTCAGAAGAAGATACAGAGCACATGAAAAGATGCTCAATATCATTAGTCATTAAGAAAATGAAAATCAAATCCACAATAAGATACCATTCATACCCACTAAGATGGCTAGCATCAAAAAGACAGATGGGAACAAGTGTGGGTGAGGATGTGGTAAAATTAGAACCCTTACACATTGCTGAAGAGAATGTAAAATGTTTCAGGCATTTTGGAAAATCAAAATGTTAAACATAGCAGGTTAAAC